GTTGAAAAAGTTTTATATATTCCCTGACTTTCAGTAGCTCATCAGATAACATTACCTCATGATCATATCTCTTGTTTGTTTTTTAAACTGATCGCACTACAAGTTTACTCCAATTGATTAATAATAATTAATGAATTAAGAACAACTGACTATAATCTACGTCATAATACACTTGACAATGTATGTTGATTCTCTACATTCAGTGTGAATATATCTTTCCCTAATGATACACCTTTTTCTAACAAATGACTTTTATATTTTCCATAAATCTTAAGTTTAAAATGATAACAGGAAGATTTTTACTAAGAAAATCTTGTCATTGATTTTCAAGACTAAACTAATTGATTTCAGTACAAATGTGATTTTTTTTTAGATTGCTGATCATTTTTAAATGTGCTTGGATTAACTTATGGAATAATGATTTGTGTTTGATTTATTACAAGTGATGACGTAATAATATTAACTTTAATTACTGCTGTTTCAAATGCTTGTTTATGACTATGGAATTAATTAATTGTCTAAAATCGATTTGAAGAGGGTTGTGTGATGATTACTCATGAAATTCAGATTATTATTGATATGAAAAACCACTAAATGAAGATAAAATAATTGTCTAAAATAATCTATACATTAAAATAATAGATCTATATACAAATTATAGGACAACATAAAACATCAAAATTAATAAGGACTAGACACGCATGACATTGGTCACCCAGTGATCAATCAATTGTGATTACATGTCAGTCCTACAGGAGGTCGGTCGCGGCCCGGATAGCTCAGTGGTAACGTCTCTGACCGTGAAGCTGGGTGACACGGGATCGAATCCGCCAGGGAGCACCAGTTCCCTCGAAGATTACAGGTACACCTTGCTGACGAGTGCCAAGTAGCACGAAACCCGGGTCCAGGGTTTCCTGTCGACTACCCCCAACCACCATCTAATCTTACAATAGTGCCCGCGGTGTCCAGTTACCTAGACTGGTGGCCACATTGCAACATGATCGATAGCATTCGATCTGCACTAATAATAAGGACTAGACACGCATGATATTGGTCACCACCCAGTGATCAATCAATTAATTAAAGTGTACGTATGGTATTCACAGAATAATAACACCTTAAGTTTGAATTTCAGTCAGTCCTCTATATGTAACGTACAATATAGAACATATAATGATGGTAACAATAAGCTCAGTAATATATCATGTCCCACATCTTTATACTATGATGGAAAGTATTCAAAAAGTCTCTAAAATATGAGCAAGTAATAGATATAGTTTGTTTTTATATCACTTGTAAGCCAGATTACTTTCTGTAAATCATGTGATTATTTTCTCAAATTTACTAAAAATGCCTCTCTTCATGAACCTTAAGTAAATGGAGCTATTACAGTGTTTACACTCTAGTACCAAGTGAAATATTTTATTGAAAAGAAAACAAATAATTTTTTGTGCAACATTTTAACCGACAAAATGTATCATAAACGAACTAGAATTCTCTTGGTGCAATGTAGATATTATATTCATAAAAAAAGATAACAAACTGAATTTACTAGACAAGTTCTATATGATTTATCAAGTTGTCAGTTTTACAATGTAAGGAAAAAACAACGATAGCATTTCCTTCTTAGCTACTTTTTTTATTAAACGATTGGATAAAACGACAAGCAGAGGTGGGTATCGAAGACCAATAGCTTTAGGCCAATGTACTCGTTTTGAGCTTTATCCCATTATAATAATTTGTTTATAGCGCTAGAAATATCTGTTATAAAGAGACAATTTAGGAAGGACTTAAGACTATTTATGAACTATTGTGTAAAAATAAATATTAATAAAACTTCCTAATAAACGACTCTGAAGAAAAAGCCTAAATGAATTTATAAACAGCTCCGAAAAAGCCTTTGTTTCTGTAATTGTAGTATAAAGGTAACATAATGAAAATCGTTACACGTTGTTTAGGATATTCAATGAGAACACTCCATGTTCTTAGATTACTTCATTCATTCTTTAGCTCCTTAACTCTGATGTATAATAATCAATGCAACTGGTTCTATCGACCCACTTACATTGGGCGCGCATTGAGGTGAAACCGATGATAGAGAAGTACTGGACAAACAGCGTTGCAAAAGATCAATACAGCCTTCCTACGAGGTACCGACAAACTCAAAAAACTCAAAATAACTCTCAACAACAGGTTTCAAGCCTTACAGGATTCACTGAAAGAAGAAGAAACTAATATGGAAGACAAATGTGAGGGGATCAAAGAAGCACTTACATCAACGTGTCAGGAGGTGCTGAGCCACAAGAAGCATTATCACAACAAAGTGATCTCTATCAAAAACGTGCCCAAGATTCAAGAAAGGAAGAACAAGAAGACAGCAATTAACAGGAAAGTGAAGAGGAGAGTTGGAGCCGACAAGCAGGAATACGTGGATGAGCTAGCAACGATAGTAGGAAAAGCTGAAACAGAAGGAAATGGGAAACAACTACATGACACAACAAAGAAACTTGCATGGAAATATTGTAAAGCAGAGCGATCAGTCAGTACTGAAGAAGGCACATCAATCACTGAGATTCAAGAACAGCGTAATGAGTGGATTGACAACTTTGAAGAACTCTTGAATAGGTCAACCCCACTGGACCCAGCGGAAATCGAGGCACCACACACAAACAATTTTCTATATATGTCACTTCACCAACAACCGGAAGAAATTTGAATGGCTATAAGACAAATGAAGAGTGGGAAAGCAGTACGACCTGACAATATACCATCTGAAGCTCTGAAGTCAGACAGATGTAACTGCAAACATACTCCACGTTCTGTTTAGGAAGGTTTGGGAGGAAGAACAAGTGCCACCGACAGACTGAAAGAGGGACAGATCATCAAGATGCCAAAAAAAGGAGATTTGAGCAAATGTGAAAACTACATATGCATCACACTAATGTCAGTACCAGGAAAAGAATTCAACAATGTTGCTGAACTGGATGACACCCAGTTTCGAGATCAACAGGCTAGATCCCGTAAGGATCGATCGTGCACAGACCAAATCACGACATTATGGATCATTGTTGGGCAATCAACTTATTGGAACACGTCACTATACATCAACATCCCTGACTATGAGAAAACGTTTGACAATGAGGATAGGAGAACCTTAAGAACGTTCTTCCATTCTATGGTATACATGAGAACGTTGTCAGCATCATACGGAATTCGTATGACGGACCACATTGCAAAGTTGTACATGGAGGACAGCTGATAGATGCATTGCAAGTGAGGACCGGAGTCAGAAAAGAGTGCTTACTCTCCACCTTGTTCTTTCGTCTGGTAGTTGACTGGATTATGAAGACCTCCACATCTGAAGGAAAACATGGAATACAATGGACATCTTGCATGCAACTAGACGATTTGGATTTAGCAGATGATCCGGCCCTTCTATCCCATACACACGAACACATAGCGTCTAGAATTGGAGACAGACAAGAAAATGCTGAATAAGATTTAGAAACAACTGAGAAAGATAGCCCAGGACAGTGGGTTAGAGAATCCTGGTCAGCAGCCTATGCTCCCACGAGGAGTAACAGGATTAAGTAAATAAGATTTTCATGTTTAAATGTGAAACTACTTATCTCTTTTTTTTCTGCATGAACTGTCTTCTTTAATAGAAGACGCTTGTTTTAAATATGCAGAATATCTCACTATATGTATACCGACTTCTACCTCTTCACATCCCTCTTGAAATATATGTGTTCTTGTCTCTTAATGACGAATAGTCTGTTGTTAATCGTCTCACACTTAACCCTTCTAGATGTCAGACTGTTAACTTTAACCTGAGACATGAACAACACTCAAACATCCTGCTGAAATTCCATAAAGATTTTACTACTTCAGGTTCTTTAATAAAAACTGTGCCAAAGATTATTTATCGTAGTATAATTTTTCCTCTGATCTCTCTTGTTCTTCTCATGTTTTATCGTTTACAAAGTTTTCCGTCTGACTTACCACATAAAGAGACTGCATGCTTTTGACATTACTCGACATTTACCTTTAAGATTTGTTAATTCATGTATATTATCTACTATTCTTTACTGTTCCCTATTATTCTTTCCCGGGCTTTTGAGAAAAGACTTTGCGGAGAGTTCTGAAGACAGTTAACAAGCTGTGTGGTGAATCTTTTACAGTCACTATTAATGCGTTTGTGGATAGACATCATTTAATTATAGGTGGTTAAGTTACTTAAATTTCGCATATATGTATACAGTTGTTAGTTTCTTTCACTTGTTTTCTTTTTAGAAAAAGAAGCTTGTTAAAATATTTTTACTAAGAATCCCATATTGTACCAATAACATAATATTGAATTAAGCCATTAATAATAATAATAATGACTTTAAGGCAATCAGTGGATATTTCAACATTGTGATACTAACGGTTGTGAGAGGTCATTTGAAATCATTCACACAAAGAGAGTAACAAAAGCTTTGTAATACTGTGTTTACCAAATGCAATGTAACAAAAATGGAGTAAGGGCTGACCTAACAAAAGAGCTTTGCCATTCAACAAATATGTCCGCTACTATGAATATTCCAAACCGATTTGATATAATTTTATGAATTTATTTACTTATTTTATGTACAAAAATCTTTCTTCAAAGAAAGAGAGGAATTATTTGTTGGAGGACTGTCAACTGAGAATCTTATGCTCTTCCAAATGGTGGTAAGGTACCCGAAACAATCGTCATTTAGAAAAAGTTTGTGAAGTCAATCTTAATGACCACGACCAAAAAAATTATCAAGGATATTTCTTCTACAATATATGCAGACAGATATCTTCGTCTTCATGACACATCAAAACTAACCAATAGGAATTAAGAAATAACGGTTGGAAAACTAATACTTTTTTGATTTGTTGTAATGCTTAGCTTCATCAAAGGCAGTAGTATAAATACGCCAATCCGAACCACTAATCAGTAAGATCATTCATCGTTTGTGTCTTTAGACATTATGCGCGAGATTGTGTTTGTTCAGGCTGGTCAGTGTGGGAACCAGATAGGTGCTAAGGTAATTAAACGTATACATTGCATATGGCTCCCTCTAATTCATCAATTTGTACCCATTTTAAATTCTCTATTTTATTTCCAGTTCTGGGAAGTAATATCGGACGAGCACGGTATTGACCCTACAGGAACATACCACGGTGATTCTGATCTACAAATTGAAAACATAAATGTTTATTTTAATGAGGTCAGTGGAGGAAAGTATGTTTCTCGTGCTGTCTTGGTTGATCTGGAACCCGGTACGATGGATAGTGTCCGTGCAGGTCCTTTTAGTCAACTTTTTCGTCCAGACAACTTTGTATTTGGACAAAGTGGTGCAGGAAACAACTGGGCTAAAGGTCATTATACTGAAGGTGCTGAACTTGTGGATTCAGTATTAGATGTGATGCGTAAGGAGGCAGAGAACACGGATTCTCTTCAAGGTTTTCAATTGACTCATTCACTTGGTGGTGGAACTGGTTCAGGTTTGGGAACACTGTTGATTTCGAAAATTCGTGAAGAGTATCCTGATCGAATAATGAACACATTTTCAGTTGTTCCGTCACCAAAGGTAAATGACTAGTTCATTTTGGTATGTCGATGTTCAGTACTGTTTACACAAGGTTTTCGATTGTTTTTCTTTTCGCGATAAACAGTTGTCATTAGACTTGACGTTAAAAATATAACCAACTTGTAGCTACAAGCATTATTGAGACATCCGACGTTTTATCAGAGACTGGTCAGACCCAGCCTTGAATCTCAGCAATATGAAAAATTAAAACCATTAGAATTATAGTACTGTAATTATAAGTTTATTGACCAACGAAATAATATTCTAGTAGATATTAAGAATATCCACTTTTGATATTTCAAAGTATCCTCAACAATGAGTGTAAAATACAACTTTTAATCCCGCTAGCTTACCTCTCATTAATAACTGTCTATTTCTCCTAACAAATGGGGAGATTTTTGAATTTATAAGCCTTAACAAGAGCTTCATATAAAAATATTTATTCACGCTATCTGACCGATAGCCAGTATAGTTGAGCTACATAGAAAAACAAACCTAGGCACAGATACTTTAGTCATCAAAATCGTCAATATATGTTGGTGTTAAATTATTCTGGTGTACCGGATCTGAATAAATTAAATTTTAGAAACTCTTGTTACTTATATTTGAACATATTACTAGACCCATTTATGTTCATTAATTTGAAGTCATGAAAATATTCGTGATTTATGACGTGCTTATTGACCACTTAGTATAACTTTCTCTTTTAAGGGATTACATCAACCGACAAATTGGTGATGCGTTTTGCATCCAAGATAATGAACGAGTAGAATCTACTGAAATATTTTTATGTGAAAATACAAATATTATTATAAAAAAAAGCCGGCTGAACACGCTGATTGATACTGGTGATGACCAGTGAACATTGTAGAAACTATTTTAACTAACAAAAAGTATTACATATTTTCTAAACAAGGTAATTTATATGATTTTAGAACAAAATTACACATTTCTTCCTTATTTTTCAAGGTCTCAGATACTGTTGTCGAGCCATACAATGCTACACTCTCAGTACATCAACTTGTTGAGAACACTGATGAGACGTTCTGCATCGACAACGAAGCACTCTATGACATCTGTTTCAGAACACTGAAGTTAACCAATCCCACTTATGGAGATCTCAATCATTTGGTCAGTGCAACCATGTCTGGGGTGACCACCTGTCTCAGATTCCCTGGACAATTGAATGCTGATTTACGAAAACTGGCAGTGAATATGGTCCCATTCCCTCGACTTCATTTCTTCATGCCGGGATTCGCTCCACTGACAAGTCGTGGCTGTCAACAGTACCGATCATTAACTGTGCCTGAACTGACACAGCAAATGTTCGATGCGAAGAATATGATGGCTGCTTGTGATCCTCGTCATGGTCGTTATTTGACAGTGGCGGCGATCTTCCGTGGTCGTATGTCTATGAAGGAGGTGGATGAGCAGATGTTGAATGTGCAGAATAAGAATTCGAGTTATTTTGTCGAGTGGATTTCGAATAATGTGAAGACGGCGGTATGTGACATTCCTCCTCGTGGTTTGAAGATGTCGGTGACTTTTATCGGTAATAGTACGGCAATGCAAGTGATATTTAAACGAATTTGTGAACAGTTCAGTGCTATGTTCCGTCGTAAAGCGTTTTTACATTGGTATACCAGTGAAGGTATGGATGAGATGGAATTTACTGAGGCTGAATCAAATATGAATGATTTGGTAAGTGAATATCAGCAGTATCAAGATGCCACTGCCAATGATGAAGAAAAGTTTGAGGAAGCCTAAATTGTATCTTGTTCCTCATAATATGTTTCTTTGTGCATTTTCATATTTCTTAATACAGTAATTGAATTAGATTAAATGTTTTTACTTCCAATTCCTGTAATTTATTGGAGTTATTTGCGTACATTCAAGCGTTTTTCGTGTTGGGAGTCGAGACGTCTAGAACCTGGATGATAGTAATACTCTTGATTTAGTATGGTTCTGATGCACTAAATTTATTGGATTTTAATAAACGAATGTTTACCGATGCAAAATAAAGACAAAGGCGTACTGGCCCATAGTTGTATATCCAATAACTTTTCCCAGCCTGTTTACATGGCCACATGTGGGTAACCATCATACTTTTGTATGCCTGTCCGAACCCTGGTTAGCTGTATGTCTGCTTACTAAGATCTTGTCCGATCGCTATTTTGCCTGCTGGTTCTTGTAACAGTATTTCTCCAAGTTCATTATATTTGTTTGACTGGGTAGTTTAAGCACTCCGGTTCTTAGCAATTGTCTTACGGATACGTTGTGTAATTGAACTATGGAAATCCATACCCAGACTTGTACCGTTCTGGAAGATTCAGTTTGGACACAGCCATTTACTCATCCATGGTTTCTTGTTTTCTGTATTAGGTTGTAGGTTTTCGAATTGATTGATAACTCTTATTATTCCTCTTAATGCTCCTTCACCTTATGAATATCTGTTCTTTTGAGGGCCTGACATATTTGACGTTTTTCCAGAACTGACTAAAAGTAGACCGTTTGATTGTCCGGAACAATAGATGGAGATCTCTGTAATGTGATGTTACGATAGTTGCTTCTTTAACGATGTGAAAGGTTTCTATGAATTGGCCCATTAGAGTTTGTGAAAACACCGAAGGTTTTGCTAGTGTGATATGTGCTCCCTATACAGACCGATATATGTACTAAGAATTCGGGGTAGGATTCTTACTGACAGAAAAACATGAGAAGAGGAAAAAAGCAGTCTGAGTAGCAACAGTAATGGGAGAACGATTAAGCTTGTAACATACAACTCAAGGAAGATGTGCTAATGATGTATTAAGTGTTTTGTCGTTATATTGTACAAATGCGGTGTGTGATTTTACTTAATACATTATGTGGATTTACCCTACCTGGGTCTTCGTTCATTACACTAGTACTGGCCATATCTGTAGCTTTGCCTTTATAGATGATTTCGATGACGTCTCTTCATAATCTCTTCAATATTTGGGCAATATAAGCTTCTACAAGCGATTAATTTCACCACTAGGACATGAAAAATGCATAAAGTTTAAGACTGACCACCTATACTTGTTTCGAAAATTGAGTCCAGTACAGTAATTAACTATTTTTCGAAACGACTAGCTGCACAAACTGGAAAGCTTTCCTTAAATTCTAAAATTAACAAATAGGTTTATGGCCAGGAAGTAGTGCAAACAGTTGGAACTTATCAGTCGCGAAAACCAGGAGACTTTTCAATTCCTTTGCAATTGCATTCAGAACGTGTAGGTGTCTGTATTGCGTAACAGACCACTTCTTCACAATCGTCGAGAAAAACATGAAGTGGCTGCCCTGATACCACGGTTTTATGCATTAACAGTCACAGAAATTTACAGCTATGAGTTTCCTAATGAATATCAATAAAGAGGTCTGATCCTACAATTTATTTGCTCTTTTCACCCAAGTTGGTGCGTATGAACAGACATTCTGTGACGTGTTACTTATATCGACATAAGTAGTATATAAAAGAATATGAATATACATAATACAGTTATACGGCTATATATATATATAATGGATCTACCAAATTATTTATAGATGAAGTTACAAATCATAAAACATGTTGTATATGAAATACGCATTCTAGATATCTTAATGAATAATTCAGATTAACACAACATTTAGTTATTATTTACTTAAACACATAGATATTGGTACAAGAAGGCACCAAATACATATGCGCCACATAAATCTCATTTGATTTGTGTGAGGGCTGTGATACTGCCCGAGTGCCTAAACAGAAGCAGGTGGTTTTCTTAGGGGGCCACAACCGCAGACTTCGACCTGAAGATCTGACCCACAAGGCATTGGAGCAATCTAAGGAGATGCAGTCCCATGGTAGTCGGTAACCAACGATTGGTTCATACGCCATTTGTTCCCGCAGGATACTGGAGCCCATGTGCACCATTGGTTTGGGATCCGGTTATAGCGCCGGATATTCGCTTTTCGTCCTCTCATTTTCGTAAACAACACCTCCGCCACGAGAATGCAGTGAGTATGACATCCCTGGCAGAGGCTGTATACACGTGGTCGTGAGAGAGCATTTCGAGAGGGAGAGCAGACTCTCCCAACTATCGGCCGTGCCAGGGCATTTGAGGGCCAACATTTAGTTAATCGAAATTTGGTCAATTTATCAAACGGCCATATATTAAAAGGAATTTTTACCATAAACAAATGAAATGTTACAAATTTCAAGCTTTTGGTCAATGCCAATTAGACTTGAAATATCCAGGTATTTACCGTTCTTATCAAATACATAGCACACATCTGTTGTCGACGTAATTCTCACTTTTTAAAATGCCAGAAGAGTAAAACGTGCTGCTTCCTAGATCACGGATGCCGTGGAACATTTTAAATTCAGAGATTTCAGAACATGATCAGTTGTGTTACACCCTAAATTTCGACGAGGTATAAAAAGACAAATTGATAAAACTATTCAGAAGTAAAACAAACTGCAAACCTCTACATTGCGTCTTGCATATCCTACTATAAAAACTTGTGATGGGGAAGTAATGAGAAATGAGTAAAATCGTAATAAAATGGTGAACGTCTGAGATGTGTATGTGATTCACCAAGATCGTTTATGGTGTAACTAATTTGGCAACCAAATGCCAGTGACGCTAAACCAACAGTACATTATCTTAAAACTAATTCCTAAAATATATCAGGGATTTCTTCGTTTTCTAGAGAAGTATCTCCTTAGAAAGCGTTAGGAATTCTGTGGTTATTGATAAAAAACAACTTTATTACTAAGCAACAATGAAATATTTTGATTGCCGATTAAGAAACAGACATTAATCATGATGATATTCACCTGCCTCCGTCGATTTACATCTCAGGTGTTGACAAATAGAAACAGTGACTTTCTTCATATAAAAACTGAAACTCAGTAATAAATGGAAATGCATGTGAACAAATCCTAGTTTAAAAACTAGGTGTGTCTACTGTACTAGAAGTTAATATAATTAATTCCCGTCACTAACAACTAGTGTGACTTTTAAAGCACAAACCTAGTTAAACAAAATTCAGAGAACTGCAATATAGTCGATTGATATTCCAACACAACATTAACAAAGAACCAGGTGTTAAGAGAAACAATGAAAGTATCTAAGTAAAATGATAGTTACGAAAGGAAATCTCAAAATTGATATTATTGATTCAGACGACTAAAATGTTTTAATAATCACTTCAAATTAATCATACAGAAAATATAATTTATGTAAATTTGTAACGAGTTTAAAGTATAAATAAATCCAAAGTAAGATATAACAGTCAAAAACATTATGCTTAGAACGCATTTTAAGCGTGGAATAGTTTCCCAACAAAACATCATATTGAAGTCATAAAATATTGATATAAGAGTCAATTTTAGTACGATGACGTTGGGATACGCATTCCGCAATCCAAACAATGTTTCTCATTTCTTGTTCCTTTAATTTAAGAAGGGCGTAGAATATACCATAATGGAACTGCTGTAAGAAGGCGTCTACATTTAATTGGACCTAAAATGGAATATAGTGAAAATTCCCATTTTGACATTTGGTAAATAAAGAAGGAACGAATTGAGCGGAGAAATTTCGATTGAAAAGAAATTTCGCTCAATTCGTTCCTTCTTTATTTATTAAAATGGAATAATTAATTAGGAAATTTTGTTACTAAAAAAATTAGTAGACAGAAAAAAGGTTAACTTTAAGCTTGAAAAGTCGTGTGAAATTTTGTTGGTTTGATCATTTAGCCAGATCAGCTGCATAAAATAGTAAAGGTTTTTATCAATTTAGTTGCCCTTTACCACAATGTGAGGTATCATTAATGGACTAATACACAAACGTTACATCCAATTTTGTTTCCATCTGTTAGAATGAAAATCCTAGACCATGTTGATAACATTGAACATTTTCCGATAATCCAATTGGTTGATGAGTAACTTCCCTCTCTCTCTCTCTCTCTCTCTCTCTCTCTCTCTATATATATATATATATATATATATATATATATATATATATATACTTATTAAAAATATGCAAGATGCAAAACTATGTTCAGAATTTATTATTAGCAAACATACATTGACACAAATTTATCCAGATTAAGTGGCAATCTTAGTTATATATTGAATTCTACTAGATGCAGTTTTCTGTTGACACTAGTAGCCAATAAATGTCCATGTATGACCTAGTCTTACAGCTTTGGAGGATGGGAGTTGTCACTAACTTTTTCCTCACAAGACAATGCTTTCTGTGAAAAATAAAACCAATAGCACACTAGATGGTCATTCTGTAATTTTCCCTAAAAAGGATATACTGCTTCGATTTCTTTTATTTAACTTTTTTAAAATAACACTTAATACACAATATTATTTCTTTTGGTGGCATCAAAAATGTACTGAATAAATCTTAATTCTAAAGCTTAGACCTCTTTTAGCTATGAAATACAAACACAAGAAGGATGTTATATACGTCTACTAGAATATTTCCGCGAGTAAATTTCTTGTGGTTATTTTCGAGATTAATTGATGATTGTGTTTCGGTGCTTGGAGAGTTTAAAGGAACAGCCTACTGTAAGTAAACAAAACATACCCATCTATTTCTAGAGATAATAACAAATTGTGAATAACCTTTAAGATACAAAATAGTAACTAATTTTCTATTATTTTGATATATGTCTTCTGAATTATCGTTCATGCACAGTTAATATGAGAAACACACAATTATGGGGGTAATTATATGTAACCTCAGTTCCATAAATGAACCTGTTTAGATATGTGAATATTCTAGAGTGAAAAATTAGGGGACACAACTCAGTTTATTCCTTCTTGATATATAGACTAAACTATGAATAAGCTAAATAAACTACGAGAAGGATACAAGGAAAACTGATATAACTAAACATATCTTACTTCATATTCGAAGAATTTATCTTCTAATGTCTTATCTCCAAAGCCCTCACCAGTTTCTTCAAACAAGGAAGAATAGTTCTGAAAAACAAGCACGAGTGGAAACGTCGCTTATAAAAGTTCAGTGGAAAAATTGTTATGAAATAAAAGATAGTACTGATGCAACAAGTGATGATAGTAAAATAATTTTATATCATTGGGATGTATTTGAAGACATAAACTAACCCACTGTGGAATAGTTTAATTCATTTGGAATTGGTAAGATGTCTCCTCTGTATTCGAGAGCTTTGTATAACCGTACTCGTTCCGAGTATAAGTTATAAGCGTTTCCGACATAACAATCAGCGACGACCAGATATAAAAAGTAGCATCAAAAGAGCCAAGACAATTAGCATTCACACAACAAAACAAGCAGCATTCAACTGACAAGTTATAACATGGTTAAATTGAAAAGAAGTGGAGATGTTTAGTTTGTGGTAGTAAAGACGTGAGATAAAGGGTAGGTTTGTAGCGTACAAGTAAGAATATGTTTTAAAGATTAACTACAAAACGAATCTAAAAAATTAATATCATGAAATATAAATACTTTTGAAGGATAAAATGAAGCATAATAACTAGTTAGTGCATGCTCTATAATAAAAAGCTTTGATCGTGATTTGTTGAAATTTAGAGATGTGACCTTTCCTGTATTATGTGAGAACAAGTAAGGTTATCATAATTAGATTCTTGCGAAGTAATTCCGACTAGAAAATAGTAAACAACCGCTATAAATTTTAAATCGCGCATGACGTTATGATTTCAAGAACTGATGAATACCATATTTCATATTGATATTTTTTGGATTCTAGGGACACTAGTAAAAGTTAACTGTCCTTTTATAATCCAACGTAATCTTTTAGTATATCAGCTGTCAAATACTAAGTTATGACTATTCATTTCCCTTGAAATCAATCTCTGCCCATATGGAGCACTCGCAGTTAGCATGTTCAAATATTTTACGCTGACCACCTGAAAGTTGTATAATACACTTGAATTCTATACAGGTAATAGGAGTCAGTACACATAAGTGGCTAGGAACCATGTACCTTGATGAATATAGTCCAGCAGTTTAGTCAACCAATAGTTATGAAAGAGATTTGTAACCATACCCTGTTGTAACTTACAAAGCTCATCACCTGCTCATTGCTGTGATATTTTAAAACAATCCCTTTTCTACTTTGAAGTGATAACTGAGTTCGTTTGTCTTGACGACAACAATCTCTATAAAGTGAACCAAAAGTACTTATTACCTTGAAGTTTCAACAAAGCAGAAATAACCAATACCCTACAATTTATTCCCAGTTCCTAAATCGTACCAACTGCTCAGAAAAATCCATAACTATACCTATTAGCAAAATTCGTATTCATAACTAATTTCAGGAAATAAAATTTCAAAAAATATGTTGACGGCTTTAAGGTTTATAACGTGGATGAGATATTAACGTCCACTAATCAAAATTTCAGCTCCAACCGTTGCCTCTACCTTGACGTCGTGGTCGGGCTTGCCTATAGTGATGAATCAACCGAGCTATATTGGCTGGAACAATTCTTCCTTAAAGTCCTACCATGCCAGACAGGTCGGTAAGACTAAAAGCAGCAAACCCAAGGTCCGAGGGCGAAGACGTACTACTGACTGTACAGAGGTGTGACGGTAGTAAGGTGTTTCTTCCAGACAACCAGCTTGACAGTGATGTTGCCTTCCAACAAGGAGTGGTGGGGTTAGAAAAGGTCAATCCTAGGAATGCACACCTCACCTTATCCCACGGATTTTCGTCTCCGATGGTTAGGTTCCAAAAAGTACGGAACTAACACGAAAATTATCCACAAAGAGGTCGTGTGTGACCGACTTCAAGCAATTCTTCCTTGGGTACTGCGGATATGCTCTCAGGTCATTAAAACCACCTCTAACCCAATATCCTTTACAGGTACTTCCCTTCCACGGTGTGGACAGTCGGGAATTAATAACCGCCCTCACATCTCATACCACTAATGTATGCTGTGTCTCCAAAACACATACACAGGATCCTACATATGGCCACGCGTATACAGCCCCTGCCAGGGATGTCATACTCACTGCCTTCTCGTGGCAGGGGTGTTGTTTACGAAAATGAGAGGATGAAAAGCGAATGTCCGGTGCTTTAACCGGATCCCAAACCAATGGTGCAGATGGGCTCCAGTATCCTGCCTGAGGGAACAAATGGCGTATGAACCAATCGTTGGTCACCGGCTACCATGGGACTAAATCTCCTTACGATGCTCCACTGCTTTGTGGACCAGATCTTCAGGTCAAAGGCTCGGGGTGTGGTCCCCTAAGAAAACCACCTGCTTCGGTTTGGGCACCCGGGCAGTATCACAGCCCTCACACATATCAAATGAGATATGTGTGGGGCATATGTATTTGGTGCCTTCTTGTACCGATATTTATGTGTTAAAATAAATCAATAAAATACACAGGATCCTAGTGTGGTCATCATTCACTCGACCTTACCGCGACAAAACGAAGAGCCGATGAGATACACCCTTATTTATTTATTTTAACACATAGGTATTGGTACAAGGAGGCACCAAGTACATATGCGCCACACGAATCTCAATTGATTTGTGTGAGGGCTGTGATACTGCTCGGGTGCCCAAACCGAAGCAGGTGGTTTTCTTAGGGGGCCACACCCCGAGCCTTTGACCTGAACGTTTGACCCACAAGACAGTGGAGCATCGTGAGGAGATGAAGTCCCATGGTAGCCGGTGACCAACGATTGCTTCATACGCCATTTGTTCCCTCAGGCAGGATACTGGAGCCCATGTGCACCATTGGTTTGGGGTCCGGTTAAAGCGCCGGACGTTCGCTTTTCGTCCTATCATTTTCGTAAACAACACCCCTGCCACGAGAATGCAGTGAGTATGACATCCCTGGCAGAGGCTGTATACACGTGGTCGTGTGAGAGCATTTCGAGAGGGAGAGCAGACTCTCCCCACTATCGGCCGTACCAGGGCATTTGGTCTAACACGAGCACGCGCTTGCTTGCGCTCTACTGGACACAGAAAAGCTACATTAGGGACAATTAGAGTTGAGAAAGCCAAAGGGAAATTTCAGGAGCAAATAAAGTCACACACAGTCAGCTCTTCATCTCAAAATGCTCTCACATGGTCACATGCATACAACCATTGCCAGGAAAATACTACTCACTGAATTCTCGCGGTTGAGGTATCTGTTACGAAGTCGAGAGCACGAAAAACGAATGTCCGGGGTTTTAACCGGATTAGTGGATACAGAGGATCTACCTAGGGTAGTTGGAAAACCCTGATTCCAAACAAGTATTGCTCACGGGCTCCAATATCCTGAAGGGACAAACGGCGTATGAACCTATTGTTGGTCACCGGCTACCATGGTGGGCAACGAAAACAAGAGATAATGGAAAAGACAGCGGCCGTAGGTAACACCAAACAGCTTCTCAGACTAATAAAAGGAATTGGAATTAAGAAGTCAAGTGTAAGTGGGATAATCTCGGAAAACGACGACACCCTTATCTGCTCTCAATCCAGACGTTCAGAACGATGGGCGGAACACATTAAGAAGTAGTTCAACTGGCTTTCAGCTACTGTGCTGCTGCCCACCAGTCAGTCAGCTGCAACGTAGGACCAGGCACATATATGCATCGGTCCAAGTTGTCAAACCTCATTAGCTCAACAAGATGAACACCGAATTCATAGTAGTTAATTCAGTGGTGGTAATATGTAAAAGAAAGATTGCATATAAGGAGATAGTACAAAAAGAAAGAATTAGTTCGTAGAAAGGTACAAAGCAATTCTAATCTCACGGTTTGAAGGAAGACGGAGAGTGTATAAACCTACGCCATTGTGATCGATTCTGAGCCATGTCATTCAGTCTCCACCTATTAGTTGCGATGGTCGTGCGGACCCCAATCAAGTAGTCTGCATCTACCAACATGGCTCAGACTAGAAGTTAGTGACTTTAAGTACTGATGCCGTTTTGGTTTGGCCGCTCCTCAATAATTATCAGACGCCTAAGACTCGTGAAGTAGAAGCAAGAGGAAACCAGGCTGGCTTCAGACCTGGTCGTAGCTGCATCGACCACATGTTCAACATTTGCCAGGTTCTAGAACACAGGCATGCCTATCGGCATCCAACAATGATAGTTTTTCTTGACCAGGAGGGTCTGTGGCAGTGTTTTTCATTGAAAGGTGTACCTCAGAAGTACGTAAAACTTGTGAAGGTTCCTTGCTCGAACACTACCAGTCAAGTTAGAGCTTATGGCGAACTGTCATTGGATTTCGTAATCTTAAGTGGTGTCCAACAAGGTTGTCCATCTTGTTGTGATAAGGTGTGGTAACTTGGTTGGTGGATACAGAGTCCAACTGGGAGAGTTGATAAACCCTGATTCCAAACAAATGGTGCTCATAAACTCCAGTATCCTGGAAGACCAAATGGCGTATCGACCGATCGCTGGTCACCAGCTATCATGGGACTGCATTTCCATACGTTGCTCTACTGCCTTGTGAATTAGATCTTTAAGTCAACGCTCAGAATGTGGCCACCTAAGTAAACTACCTGTTTTGGTTTGGGCACCCAGACAGTATCCCAGCCCTCACATAAATCGAATGATTTATGTGGCGCATATCTATTTAATGCCTCCGTGTACCAATGTTTGTGTTTAAATAAATAAATAATCTGTGACAACTTGGACCGATGCATATATGTGCCTGGTCCTACGTTGTAGCCAACTGACTGAAAACTTCAGGTTAGAAAACTCATAAGGTTATGAAGCTCTAGTTCATTAAGGTTAGGCTTCAACTTTTAATCAGTAGTCGGAATTATTTATTTTTTAATCTGCTGATATTTAGCCCACTAAGCAGTATGAGAACCAGCTTTTATACAACGGATTCGACTCACCGACTAGTATACAGGAATGTAAACTTTAAACGAATTCCACTTTTCTATATTTAAAATTATTTGTTTACTTCAATTTACCTAAACAATTTAATTTTGGTACTAGTTTTCCGAGAATTTGTAAAAATTGGTAGCTATTTTTGAGGATTTTTATTGTCACAGTACTTAGTCATAGGGAGGGAAGCCCACATCAGCTAGACTTCAATCGATAATCTATTTCGGACGTCTAACAGAGCATTTTCAGAGTTTAAGAGCATGGAGATGTCTACTGTGGGTTGTAGACATGTACAATCCTTAATACAAAATACTCCACTGTTGTACCTAATTGTGGCAAACCCTAGTGTCACCCCATCTGCCCGTAATAAAATATTTTATGCATCAATTCTTATGCCGAAAGTTGGGGCGGAGACTGACATTAATCGAGATGGTATCTAAACAAATATCGAGCAGCCCGTACAACTCCAAAACCAAGTAGCATAGGTACATTACAAAGGTCAAGAATATTATTCGTACCACCTGTGGTCATCTGGAAAATCGATACAAGTTTTAATTATTATGTACTGCTAAACAAAGTTTATTTGTGCAATGTTGATAATAATGAGATAAAAATGACTTACCGAATAGTACCTTGCAACGGATTTTACTTGTTCGTAATCGTTAGCCTTAGCAAGTTGAACAAGCCCCTCAGGGTTAAGTTTTCCACAGCGAGGATAAAGTTTGGACCTATCCTCGTTTGAGAGTTCTGTCCCGAACGAATTGATTGTTATGATAAACGCCCTTCTATCAGCTTCAAATGCTAACAACTCACACATCACCTCAGCAGTAATTCCACCCAGTGACTTACAGAAGGTATAAAAATCTTCAATATATGCCTATAGAATTACGTTATGGGAAAAGATTAAAATACCCTGTACAAAGTGTTACGTATTATCTCTATATTAAGTTCATCTAAGTCTTGCTCCGAAATACAATCAATAAAGAATGGGGCTACAGAAATAAAACCACGATTAGAATGATACCTAGAGGCGTGTCCACGAGTACAGCATTGTATAATTCAGCAGGGTTAGTTGCGATATTCAGGGTTTCCATTTCCAGAAATGTTCCAAGAGGGTGGCATTTAGTCATAAGTTCGGATATCGGTCTTCCATGAAGAGTCCCTGTTATCAGAAGCACGATATTATCAATCATATAGCTGTATGTGATGTAATCCAAGAATAAAGATAATGGGTATACAGCTTGGTTGCGTATGTGTCGGAACTCAGATACAAACTTTTCGCGAATTCTTTCTTCAATGATCCCCACAGTCAAAGGTCCTGGTTCATTGGCAAGAAATTCCCCATAGTCGGTGTCATGCAGGTGGAGCTTTAGGTCTAATTATTAGAATTAAACTAAAACAGAATGGGCGAATTCCTACCATCTAATGTTTCACACTGTACTAGCACGTGGTAATCAGCTTGCTTTAGAAGTCCACCCTTAATTCCACGTGCTAGACCTTCTAAATAGCCACTATCCGCATTGAAATTCACCAAAGAAATCGGTAAAACCTCCGTCATTATGAAGCCGCCAAAACCCCAATGACTCCCGTCCTTGAAAGGATGAGGTCACTATTGAGGATTGAAAGAAAAGAAAAATTATTTTATGGGTAGATTTTAAATATTTCTATGATGTCATCAACAATGTCAAAGTTCATTTGGCTATTAACATTTCAAATCATCAAAACAACCATTAAAATCAAGTGTTTTAATCCCATTAAAATGGTTCAAATGGTTGTAGACGGAATAGAAGAAGCTTTCGCTTAACAGGGTTCCGTGTCTAGTAGCAAGAGATCACCAATACCTCTAGACAAGAACCTAGGTATTTTAACGATAAAAGAGAAAATAATAAATTGGTAAATCATAGTAAGATACTATCCTTAGTCCTTAAGAATAGATCAAGTCGCTTCTTAAAGGACTCCTGAGAAGTCGCTTGGACTAACTCAGCCGCCGGCAAAGTTCAGCATTTGACAACTCTTAAGGAGTAAAAGTTGTGTCTGCAGTCCGTTCTACTATGTTGTGTCTCTAATTTCTGGGTGTTACCCCTTAGGTTAGCGTTCGGACTAGGCTTAAGTAGGTATTTAAGAGGATGTCCAGGTGTGTTAAGGATACTGTAAGTCATTAGAAGGTCACCTCTAAGACGCCTATACTCTAATGGGTAAAGGTCGAGTGATTGGAGGCGCTCTTCGTAAGGTTTAAATTTGAGTCCCCGAACTGATTTCGTGGCTCACCGTTGGATACGCTCCAGAGTGTCCTTATCCTTTTGGAGTGTAGGAGGGAATACTGTGTTTCCGTACTCTAAATGGAGACGAATGAAACTGTTGAAGACTATGTGGAAAGTTCTTCCATCGAACTGGCCGAAAATGCGCTTCAATGTTACCAGTGCAAGGTTTGCTCGAGAGGCATTTCTGTCACAGTTGGCGTAAGACTATAAGGGCACCAGAACTCCTAAATCTTTTTCAACTCAGGATACAGCTAGAGAGGAGTTTCCTAAGTTGTAACTATAATCTGCGACATGTCGCAGATGGACTACTTTACACTTTGAAGTGTTAAAGGTAAATCCGTTATCGTCTGCCCAAGTTTGAAGTTGAGTCAGATCCTGCTGAAGTGACTGTATATACTCTTGGTTGCATATCTCTCTTCAAAGTTTCACGTCGTTGGCAAAGAGCAATATGTCTGACGTTACCTGTTGAGGAAGATCATTTATATAAATCAGGAAGAGAAGAGGTCCTAGTACTGAGCCCCAGGACCTCTTCTCTTCCTGATATATATAAATGATCTTCCTCAACAGGTAACGTCAGACATATTGCTCTTTGCCTAGACACTGTAAGCTCCTCGTAAATAAAGTTCGTACTGAAAGTGTATGTTATCAAAGACGCTTAAGTAAATCAACCCTTTGTTTCATAAACATCTGGTTAATAACGTTGTGCAATTTGCTAACAGGTTTCAAATGAAGAAATGCTGGTTTATATTTATATGATATTGAGCGGATCATAACTACTCTAAAGTACAGAATCAAACCCAGGGCCTATTTGCGGAAATTATGACACCCTTACGCCATGCATTCAATGTTTATCTATTCTCATTTCTGAAATCTATCATGTCGCGAAAAGCACAAAAATCATCCAAAATAGTTTTTGAGCGACAATCCACATCACTATGCGAACGACTGAGTATAAAACCCTAACGCATTCGTCCAGAAGCTATTCGCTAAGTGGTCCTCCATCAACGAGTAATTTAATGGCTCATAAGCAATTTATTACTAATCATAGGTCACTATTTAGCTAAAATTCGTTGCCTCAGTAACTCAGTACAATCAGTAAATTATAAAAACCTGGAAAACGAAGTGAGAAATTTCCGAATACAAAAACTTAAAATTACCAAGCTGGAAAAGTGTGCATCACATTAATGTGTCCCGAAAATCTATCACAAAATAGATGAATATATGCATTTTATCAGCTAATGCACAATGATTAAGTGGGATAGTTAACTTAGATAAATCCTCGTTCTAATATGTGCATCAGAATATAAACTCATGTTTGCGTTATTTCTTATTTTATTTAGTGGTCATGCGTTTCGTTTTTATTAGTTGAATGATGAACAGATTCTAGGTGCGTTTGTCAAAGTTCAGTCCACTCCATTTGCTCCTCACTGAGATAAATAAATATTTCATACGAGTGAACAGATAGATTATCCTAAGCTTAACGCCTTTTGAGGGCATTTAGACATTCGGGTCGATAGACTTTTTAAAGGCGTAAATCACTAGATACAAAACGTTTTTCATCTTGTAGGTCCTTATCAACTACTGTGGAAATATAAAGACGGTAGATAAACTTCCGAAACAAGTAACCAATATGATCTACAAAACTCTCAAGACATAGAAGATTCTGTTAAAATTAATTGAGGTATGGTGCTATGATCAGAATCAATTAACTCAGTTATTGGTAAAGTAATAAATAATTTCTGAATGGATTATGCGAGTTTTGTCTTCATTATTTGCCATGGTTTAGTTAATAACAAAGGAAAGTCATCAGCAAACCCCCGATTGTAACTTTTGTGTTTTCAAATGACATAATTCGCGTTATGGGCGGCAAAATACTTACAATAAGCAACACTTTCGTGGAATAAATAGATCTTTAGACATTATAAATTGATGCTGATAATGGGTTTAAACGACCTTTACTCGGTGGAAGGACATCAGCCAGGAATCTTGACCATATTCAGATACAGCTAAGATGAAATACTTCTTTAGTATTCAAAATGGTTAGAAATACTGTCAAGCATTGTAGTCGAGAAGTCCTCTGGTATTCTTTCATATCAGTGCTAACGAGACACGTTCGAAGTCACAGAGCTTAAAAGGAGCAACGAAAATATTCTGTTGGTTAAATTCTTTAGATTTATAAAACCCCTAGCAAAGTAATCAACAGAGTGGCACAGATGATCCTTTTTGTTATATCAGAATTCTCATGTTTGACGTTCATAAATACACCGTGGTTGGACAATGCTGCACTATGTGATAGTGCCGGAAACAGATGTTGTTAATTCATCATTACAAACCCTGTGACCGCCCAGACTGCTGGTGAAAATATCCACCACTGTCTCTTTCACCAGTAATCCTTTTTATGATGGATAACTAATCATTAAAAATATTATAGTTATCAATGATGCTTCACAAGTGAATTGGGTGTGATAAAATTTTGACTCTGAGGACCGGTTAAACAATATCAGTCGTTAGACCTGTGCAAACATACACGACCAATGATTGACATTTCGCCCAAAACTTCCAGTCACCGAGTAAAACTGTCGACGAGTGCAACTTTGAATTCGATCTTTTACAATTTTGAGACAATTGGGGAATAATAATAAAGCCAAAAGGAAGTTTTTCAAGTAAAAGCTTTTTATGACGACGCAAAATATCTCCAAACCATAGTACTTACGCACAAAACCTCAAGGCGACAAGTGACATTGTAGTTCTTAAAAAATTGCACTGTATGTTGTCGCTATGTCTGTCTATGCTAGCGAAACTGCTGTGAGCGTTATTGGCTGCTGAGAATATACCATCTTTATATTGGAAAAGGTTTGGTTTCCTAACAATACCAATTTAATATTAATTGGCGTCTTCTTTATGGTATAGCTGTGGGAAACCGGATCAGGAATGCATGGAGTGGATAAAATGCTCAAGAACCTCAAAATAATTACTTGAAAAAAGCACAACCACTAGTTATGGGCTGCAATTGCATCAGCCAGTGATCGATCACTGAAGCCCTGAGCCAATAATTGCGAACGTTGAAAAACCTCCGTTGTTAGGGGAAAAAATGCGGCGAATAATATGAAGATGTAATTCTATCATAGAACGATAGGTCTATTCAATCAATTCAAACAGCCAAGCACGAGGAAGCAAATATCGAAACCACTAAAGAATAATGGTTGAATGAAACAAATTGAGAAAGCCAGTTATGTACCGCATAAAAATAAGGGAATATTATTGTTCACAAATATCTCATGGTACCATATGTGTTGTGAAGAAACTATTTCGGGTTTCGTCAAAAATACAATAACACACAGCTTTCGATAATGTTAGCATTACACTTGCCATAACTGAGAAAGAGACGAAATAATAATGATAATGAAGTATTAATAATAAATCAGGTTATTAGTAATTGAGAATATTGAATTAACTTCAAAGAAGGTAAGGGAGAAAATAAGGCAATAGAAATAAAGGAAGTGTGAAATAAGCGAATAGTTTAATAGTAGTGTTCATGAACACAGAACAAGAATAAACGACTATGTATGTATCGTCCAATTTGGTGGCAAAAATAAAATAGAAAATAATTAAGAAAAATAACTTATTATTGCAGCAAGATATGACGTTATGACACAGTACCTAAAAGCCTTGCATAAATAATTTAAAAGCTATTCAGCACAATATCCAGGATATTCCCTAGCCAGAATTAACTTTCTGTGGATCGGAGTGGTGGAATGAATGCAAAAATAACTAGAACGAGACAAAAAAAGCTAAAGACTATTACCGACCGTCCAGTTTAGTCCAGAAACAAGAAGACTCTATTTCAAACTCAAAATTAACTCGAAACCTCCCACTTCCGTTTATCATTGTTACAAATTTATGTATGTAACTAGGCTTAGCACAGCAACCACTAACAAAAATCCTTCATTAGACTCATCATGTTTCCAAATGTAGTTCCATAAGTCATGTCGGAACACAGTATTTTTAAGTTGTTATATTCATCATCAACGTACATCTAAACCTGTTTTGTACATGCGTTACAATATATCAACTCTTTGTTATTTTAATTTAACTATTGCTCGAACTACCATTGACATTTTCCAATGAACCTATCGTCGTCGTTATCGCTGGACGTATTTGGGTTTATAAATCGTGCTATCCTATTAGTCTTCTAAAAAGGCATGTAACATAGTACATGTAATAAGGTCACCGCAGTAACGCACTATCGTGCCTTAATGACATAATGAACAGAGGATCACGAAGTTCATGTTCAAGCAAACATTCGAAACAAGCTCTGGAGCCCACTATCAAAATTGACAATAAATGAAAGAATAGTTTGGATCGCAACTCAGAATGTAATCGGGTAGCTCGG